TCACTTGTTATGACACTTTTGTGTGTTGTTAGGTTTTTTAGCTCGAAATTATTTCAGAAAATACCGATATGTAAAGTATACGTAAAAATATCACCGGAGTGATATTTTTTCACAATTTACATATTAGCAATGAATGGTCTAAATAATTATGCCTCAATCATTTCACTTACCTAGTCCTCTCTGTCGCGAGCTCATGTCCTTTATAGGGTTGCGTTAGTGGGGAATCTATGAAAGGGGTCATAGGGTGATGTGGTTGCTAAGATATTGTCTTTGTTTCTCAGGTAATAATCACAATGTAAATAAAGTGATAATGAGACGATAGTGCCTGTATATTTGGTGCGTAGAAGCAGATCGTTATTCACGTTTTAGTTTAGTTTTACGAATGAAAAGCGATGGAGGATATCTTGTATAAAACGAAGAAGGTTCCCTAAAAACAACTAGGCAATTCTTTTTATTTTTTATAGTGCTGATCCAAAAGTTGGAGTTGCTGTTTGTTTTGAATTGATTTTTGGATAAAAAAATCTCATCTCTCCCAGTTTAGCGCGGTTAATTATAAGAAACCAAAAACTATATGGTTCCAATTTAAGGGTGGCTATTTTTATTTAGGGCAGTGCTAGTCTTTCCTTTTTTACGACACCCTATTATTATAAACGAATGGAGTAAAAAGCTAGAGTAATAAAAAGTGTCACTTTTATGGGATATGTTGGCAAACAGACCTATCATCTGATGGCTGGCAGTCAGCGCTACCCATGGATATTCAAGACCAAAGGAGATACGAATACGTTACCATTGGCATTTTATGGATTGTTAGGAATCTGATGATTAGTAATTTGGGGATTGGAGATGACGAAAGGGGAGGATAGGATCTCCGTTAACGATATTCTGTAAGGACATGGTATCACACCGGTCGAGTCGGTGGATTCGTACCGAAGAGTGGCTCTCTCACTTTTTTGTTCATCAGATTAGTGTACCTAATACAGTAGTTTCCAACTAGTCAAATTCAATACTTTTATACAAATGTCAAAAACTGAAATTTGTATGAAAAACTAAGTTAATACTTCATAGTATTTTTGCGTCAAATAGCTTACTTATTTCTTAATAATTAGCTATAAAATAGCTAAAACTAACACCCGGTTTCCGAAAGGCCGATCAATGTTAAAATCAATTTAATCTCTTGTCAAGTCATCTGATTAGTTGACTGAATTATCAACAACCAATCAGATGACTTGACAAGAGATTTAACAGGAGATTAGTTATTTTAGCGTTGACAAGCCTTTCAGAAACCGGTTGTTAGTGTATCGATTGATGGATGAATAAAAGTACAGTTATTTTTCAATATTTTATTGTATTGAAACGAATTAATTTATTTTTGACCTAGGAAACTACCTAATTTGTGTAGCTAATTAGTGAAAAAAAGGTTTTTAAACAATTATCCAATCACCTTAGCTGTGAAAAATTTGTTTTTATTGTTTGACACAAGTAATTTCTCTATACGATCTAAGTTCTCATTGGCGCCCCTTGTTGTTGAATTGTGCACAATTTTATTAGCCTGATTAAATGATAACTGCATATGAACAGTCTGTTAACCATTGTGTTAATATTTCAGATGATATTTTTACTGAATTAAAAAAAGAATGAAGGGCATATTACGTTGTTTTTCTTTATCTTTCTCAACTGAGAAAAACTCTTCTGGTTTCAAATCATGAGGGGACTCTTATTTATGATCAGCTCGTGCACCGTGATTTTAATTCCCGCGAGTATGTCCATAATTTCATTAGAAAAATTGTTTAAAATCTTTTTGTACTCAGTCATCTTCTTAAAATTTAACTATTGCAGTTAATAAGTGTGGGAGAGCCATGCTTCGGCACGAATGGGTCGGCTCGACCGGAGTGATACCACGGCCTCACAGAAAACCGGCGTAAAATAACCACTGCGTTGTGTTTCGCCGTGTGAGTGAGGTTACCGGAGGCCCAATCCGTCCCCTTCCCCAATCCCTCCTCAATCCCTAAATCTCCAAATCCCTAATCCCTAAAAGGTCGGCAACGCACTCGTAACTCCTTTGTTGCGGGTGTCCATGGGCGACGCCGATTGCTCACCATCAGGTAATCCGTCTGCTCGTTTGCCGTCCTATCACATAAAAAAAAAAAAAAACTAAATATTCCGAATAGTTTTATAGGTTTTTTTTTAAGTTTTGTCTATAATCATTTTAATTTTAGATAATCAGACAACTTATAATTATTATTTTTATAAAAAAATGATAATTCGATCATTTTATTCGCTCTTTATTGTGATGTGAAGAGCCTTAGGGGACTCATTATATTTTGGCCCGGTCATAGTGTACGCTATAGATAGATGTATCGTTATTTTAGTCACCCCCAGCAAACAGAGCGGTGTTATATGTTTGGTCTGTCTATCTGTATATATGTCTGTAACACTGTAGCTGCTGAATGAATGAAGCGATATCAATTCAGTTTTTGATCTAAAACCAACTCTTATATACGCGACAAAGAGTATTGAGTTTGATAAGAGTCTGAATCTTCGTTTATAAATACAAGACCAGACATACAGGCTCTACGTATGAAATGTAAAGGAATTTTGATGCTTAACCTTTAAAATAAGGCGCAATTAGGTACCTCGGCCCCAGTTTTGAGCAGGAGAAGGAAAAGATGAGTTTTTGTCTGTAAGAGTCTTGTCTTATTTTAGGGTGAGGCGAGAGGGATCTCACTTCACCCTGGGCGTGAGAAGTCAATTGATGATTTTGCCATCTTTTTAAAGATGCTCGTCAAATTTCTATGAAAAACATAAATCGATCTCGATATTTTGGATTGGAATCCCAATTCCATCAAACTCAATAAACAAGTTTAATGGTTAATAAATAAAGAAACAATACATGAATTAATTTTTAAACAATAGGCAAAGTCCATTCATATTTTAAAAGTATTAAAGATCTTGTTAAAATTGGTTTTAGTTAATACTCCAGTGTGCCTGTTTCACGACCTTTATATGAGTAACCGATAAATTATTTGGCACATTTTTCATAAAAAAATTGTCTTCTAAATATTTTAAAGATATCTGATGCATAAGGGCTATGCAGACCTTGTTTAACAGACCTCAAAGTAGTTAGCAAAATAGGTACTCTTTATATATTATCAGATATATGTAGGTAATTAAGAAAATATATTTTCAGCCCTTTAGTCTTTAGCAAACAGCCGATTAGTTAGAGCCCTGGATTAGTTTGAAAACGGTTGAATAAACACGAAGCATTTTAAAGGGTCAAAGGACGTCTACACATTGTAAAGCCGGAGTAAATATTTTGTTTGTTTGTTTTCATTCTTTGAATATTTTCCAGTTGTAGGAATTACGAATCTTGAATTAAGATTCGGAGACAAAGCATGATATAATTATAATTTGATATACATATTATAACTCAGCGAAAGATAATTTACACAGGGAACTTGACAAAGTATTAATTAATATCTTTTTGGAAAACCGATTGTTAAATTGCAGTGCCATACACAAAAATTGTAATAGAACAAAATATCTAAAGATTTTCGTTCAAAAATTCTCAGACTAAATTCCCATAGATTAAGGAATATGTCCCATTATGAGCTTATATACTTTTAAATATTTTTAGTAACAGAGGCTATCATATTATGTATTTCGAACATTGGTCAAATATAAAATGAATTTTTTTCAAATTGTCAAATGACTTTTTACTGTTTTAAGTGCTTGCTTTATGTTTTTAAGTCAAAATAGTAATTAAAAGTCTACTAGAAAAAAATGATAAATAAGTAAATTTATCGTATTAATTAAAGAATGTGTGATGTTTTTGGTATTGTATTGTGAAGTTGATAAAATCTGTTGTCGTCTAAATAAATCACACAATTGTGGGGCGTTACATAAATTATACTCATAGCATAACTGGTCAAATGTAGATCCTACATTGTAACTTTGCACGCATCCATGATTTTGGGGATTACAACGCGTGAAAATTTATTATTTTTTGTTTTTTGAGAATGCTGAAGATCTGGCAGGCGTCTTTGTATAATCTCTGTATAACCAGTACTGAAAAATTGACAAACATTCCCCAATTTTTTTAAATATCGAATGTATGAACTACATCAAATATAACGATATCCTTCAACTATTAAACGAAACCAAAAACAACACCCATTTTGATTACAGAATTAGATAAAGCGCTTTCGTTTTTATCTATGGAACATAACAAAATAGTTGGAATAACAATCGCCGCCGGTAAATGAATAGGCTATCGTTTTGTTTATTTAAGCTCGGTTAAAACTAAATTTTATAGCTTTGATATGAATGAGAATTGAATGCTAAACATTATTTGTACGTATTTAAATTATCTGATTGGTTAGGTACTACAAATCACAACACACACAGCAAAAGTTAACTTTTACCGCACGTAAGTAAATTTTTCTGAAGTCATCGGCCTCTCAAGTAAGTTTAAGTAAAACTCCTTGCCCCTCGCAAAAAGTAAACTTTCTTAGAAAGGGCGGGCGGGATACTCATTGGGCGGAAATAGCCGCCCAAATCTCCCGCCCTCCTTATTTGACATTCTCATTTCCTTAAGTTGCAAGGAAAAAGTTTCGAACACTTTGCAATGTCACTGAATGTTCCCTACTTAAGAAGTTTGACAAAATATTTAAGCGTTATTACCGTGTGAAGCTACTTGTTGGAGTTTGTGATCACTTGGAATTTGTTCGCTGTTTCAATCGTTTCACTTCATTTGCTTTTTGATTGTTTTACCTTTCGCTTTTTCGTAAAAGCCGTCGCGATTTTTCACCGTGATTTTTTGTAAAATACGTTTCGTTTACAATTACCGATTGTTGTTTTGTTTGATTACTAAGCCTTTGATTTAGTTGATGTAAATTTTTGAATACGCTAGTTTGATTTTTCGTTTGTAATAAAAATTTAGGGCTATTAATAAAAAATCACTAATATTCATTGTATCACATAACTGCACCTTCAGCACTCACCGCGACCGCTGCGGCCGACGAATCTCAAATCGTTGAACTTGGCGACCTGGTTCTTCATCACTGCCGAACTGTTCCTCAGTTCAGCGCAGCAGTTCTCGTCGTTACCAGCTCTGACCGTCACCAACGTACCGTCTCCCACGTCACCTAGAGCTACCACTTTGAACGCCACGGGAAGAGTTTTGTTAGATCGCCAATGAGGAGGTAACACAGTACACACGAAGTGAGGGCTGCCCGTCCGCACCAGCTCCCCTGGATGCTCCGACAAGAAGTCGCCAAGTGTTCGTTCCGCGAGGATATCGGATGTCATCTTCGTGTAGGTCTCGTGCAGTAGTGTGGAGCTGGTGTCGGGCGACACGGCGCCGCTGCTGGCGCCCGTCAGGTGCATCCTCGACACCCGCGCGCGCTGCGTACTACACATAGAGTCTACTGGCTTCAGCCACTGCTACATGACACTACCCCGTCACCGGCGCTCACACCCACCGAACACCATCGTCACACACCAATAACATAGTCACACACTAGGCCAACAAGTTGACTGCACTCAAACACTGTCTTAAGTTTAACAAGAAGGGACGATGATGAGACGTGACAACACGTTGCTAGGGAACGAGCGCGTGGCCACTTGACGCGGTGACGTCACGGCGGCCTTGCCACACTTTTTTCCCCGGTGAATGAAAAGTTCGGCGGCGGGCGGGCGAGGGACGCGAGGGGCCGATTTTTTCCGGCGCTGAGGGGTGGTCCCCCGTACGCGGCGAAAAAACTTTTCACTAGTTTCACTGACGGCGGCACTTTTTGCGCACCGCGTATTTACGCGATCGCCGCACGCACGTCCCTCTCACTTTCACCGTTGACGACGAAGTTTTTTAATTTTTTTGTATTTTTGTTTTGAGTTTCGCTTTCGCGCACGCTACTTCGTTGTCGTGTTTACGCGTATGGGGTGCGTGGCGCGGGACGCGTGCGACGTGGCGCGCGGTCGTGGTGCGACTCGTGGCGCGTGGGGCTCGCAGCGCTCGGTTGCGGTGACCACTCGCGGTGGCTATTAATACGCGGCGTACGTCCGCGCCCGTCGACTTCGGACAAAGTTTCGCGGGTGAGTCGGTGCGGCTCGGCGGCAGCGGCGGCGGCGAGCGAGAGGCGGCGACGGCGCGCGGGCGCGGCGGGCGGCGGAGCGCACTTTGCGGTCAGGGTGGGTTGGGTTTAAAGCCGCCGAAGGATAAAACATACAAATAAACACGTGTTCGCGCCGGCGCGAGTGAGAGATGCGGCGAGCGCGGCGGTGCAAGCGGGATGGCGCACGCCTCTTGCGGCATTTAGCAGCCGATCTGCCGGCAGCCGGCCGACACCAGGCCCACGAACTACCACCACCACGGCAAGCACCGTCACCACAGTCGTACAGTTTTGGCCAGAACGGCATTTCGCGAAGTGAATAAACAACCATAACACAATTGAGTCAAGAGTGGTGTAACTTTCTGCGAGAACTTTAAAACAAAGTTAAAGAAAGCCAAGCTTTTTAATGATGAAAATAATTGTCATTTTCTTACATAAAATAATTAACTTTAACGCACCCTAAATAGTAAGACATTACCTGCACTGCTTTATAATTTAAGTAAGGTAACTATAGTGATCCGATGTCGTACAGTGTTGGCATAATGAGTTAGGACAGGGGTGCAGTAGATCGAGTTAACGAAGCCTGTTAGAAGTGGCTCGGACTCGTCACAATCTGCTTACATCTAAAAGGTGCCACCTTAGAGACGCTGTATTAACGAATTTTATAGACAACGTGTGCGAAGGGGGAAAGATCGCTTTTATGATGATCGTATGAATGCAAATTGGGGTAGACAATAGATTCATACAATGTTTTGAATGAAGGTTGACTATCGACGCAAGGGTCATGTTCAAGTTAATTTTACTTAAAGAAGATATGAAGGTTTTAGTGTTGCATCTTAATTATCATAAAGAACTTATTTGGGAGTATTTCGTAGGCCGTTCCAGCTATTTCGCAGCTGGCATTAATTTACCTTATAGTTTTATGTATCTCTATTTAAATTCTTACACAGTTAAACACAAGATTCATAAAAAATAAAACTGTAAGTAAAAATGTGAGTCCAAAAAGTAATACAACACAACTATTATCTACGTTTTAACAATTCTATTTTTAAACTAAGTAAATTAATTAATTTTTTTTTTGTAATGTTGCAGCATCTGACAACACGTATAAAAATTGTTCTTTTTTTAAATTAAAATAAAAGCTAAAACATTTATACTTAACACATTATCTTATTTTTTTTAAGTCGCGGTTATAGTTCTCGAGCAAGCCGGCTACTATCACATGATTATCACATCACTAAAACCGTGTACAAACACTCAATATTATATTCCATGTACTTCTAGTAACAAATTGTTCACAACGCACCCCGTTACAAGCTCCCGAACGTGTGCTCACACAATAAATTTCCTGCAACAATCCATTGATGGTTCGGTTCCAGTCCCTACTATCCCCTGTTTATACGAAAGTGAACTTTATTGCGATGGGATAAAGATGATGGTGATATGCGTGGGAGTCTCAATGTGTGGGTCTTAGGACAGCCATTAAAGCTGCTTGCTGCAGCTGTCATTTTCGCAAGCGCAAGCAGTGTTAAATATATTTCTTGCTTATACTTATAAATGTTTGAGAAATAGCAATCGAATATTTGTCATTAATTTGTAAACGAGACGTGGTCTTTTCATAAAAAAAATTGAACTCATCAGCACATCATCAGCAGTATCTGAGAATAAACATATAAAGGTATTTTACTTAAATTTCGAGGACATAATACAAATCTTAACCGTGTTTGTCATAGTTATATTATATATGGTCACATTGAATTGGAAATATTCTTCCTCTAATATCATAAAGTATAAAACGTATATTTTTGTATGCGTATTTTTAATAAATACAATCAAAAAGTATAGAGCAGATTTCAAAAATTCTTTACCCTGCGAGTATCACAATATTTTTAACACAAGTAATTTTAGCTTCCGTTCACACCAAAATCCACAAATTCCAACCACGTAACCTTAAAGTTAAAAACGTACAGAGAACCACCAACCGCAATAACCAACCCGGGTAATGATTTGGATACTTTTCGAAAAACAAAGGGAACATAAACTGGGAAGGACCTCAAAGGACCATTATAAAAGGTATGCAGATCGGTCGGTCCTTCGGTCCGCTCAGCAAATATTGATCAAGCACCCTACAACACAAAATCAAACCTTTTATTTAAGTCGGGACAAAGGGATGCAAGGGCAAGGGTTCAGAGATAGTTCAATAACCCCTGCAGATGACCAGTACACAGATTAGATCAGCATATTATGATTTATGACGATTGTTTTATTAAATCCTGAAGGGGGTTTTGCGTTTTCGAAAGTATACAGAATGCAGTGTGTACTGTACAGCTTAATGTGGATTTTTTGTGACGTAAAGAGTACTAATTTGTTTATTGTGTAAAGATGTTTCCGTACTAATATTTTAAATATATTTTTTTAGTATGAATGGACAGAGGAAAATTTGTTATTCTTTCACTTAAAAACTAATGAACGTCTCACAAACCCGCACAAAAAAACCGGGATCCCCAAGCGAAACCGCAGGCAAAAACTAGTTGCAACATGCAGTCACTTCTTATGCTTAGTTATGAGACTCATAGAATCAATGATTCTTCCTCATATATGTTTATAAGGTTGATACTTATATAGTTTTACATAGTACTTTATATTTGGTATCGACACTGAAAATTTAGTAAATTGTAAAACATTAAGCGCAAAGGACGGCAATACTTATTAAAAAATTTTTTTTTGGAAAAATAATCCCAAGCCATCTATGATAATTAGAATCATATTCCATTAACATTTACTATATCCCTTTAACCAAATCAATTCTCTCTATTCTATCAGTCAGTGTAGGTATAAGCCTGTAATGCCATAATCAATGACTTCACTTACGTAATAAAGCCCATTCCGATTATGAAGATGATGTTGATGATCTTAGATTACTTGGTTATTGGATAATGATCTGTGAATGGTGGAGTAAGGAAAGTGACCTTTAATTACGTAAGACTAATTAAATACAAAGTGCAATTAGATCAACAAAAACTTTTTGAAATAAGGCGAATTGTAATTTTTCGGCTTGCGATAACTTTTCATGGCTGTATTGTAATAGATATATAAACTCAATAACTTTTTTTATACAAGTTGCACTAATTGGATCAAAAAATTTACGCCATTAGCAGACAATAAAGAACATGCGCGTGTAACCCATAAACATTTAATTTAAGCTTTTTAAAAGGAAATACCATAAAATATACGGGGGTTGCAATCCAGTGTAACAAAAGGGCCGTATAAGCGGACTAAGCAGACGGGCATTTAACCGCCAGATTGCAATAAACATAGCGTGGTGGACGCGTAGCACACTGCTACGCCGGACACAGCTTGACTACGAAGACGTAGGCTACCGTAGAGACGGTGCTACGACGTAGTTGACATTATATTTTTTTGTATTTAATTTCCTCTTCTCTATTTTTCTCTTGATTATGTATAAGTTTACTTGAATATAAATGACATTTTTTTGATAAATATAGGACAAAATAACAAAGTAGTATTTATAATTGGATTGGGACTACAATTTGTTCTTTTAACATAATTTCTATTTTCTTCTGTCAATTGTTTCCACTACTTTTAAGTGACTTCAAGTTTGATATTACCACCAATACAACAAAATCCACTATACTAAACTAACCCTTTGTGAAAAAAAATAAAGAGCAAAAGAATACATAAGCAACACCGTCTCCACCGCACTCATATTCCAAGGTCCTGCCCAGTCTGTAACGTCCGTCGCCCTCGTTAGAGAAGCTCAAATTAATGCAGGCCATTCTCTCGCTGACGCCGCCCAGTTGTTCTTAAATCTAATTACCGAGCCTGCAGCCGCGCCTAAACGCACACCCTGATTAATCACGACACATGCATGGATATATACTTTATCTGTGGCCAAAATGGGGGGAAAAGAAAAGTCTAGACGTCGAGTAATTGGTGTGAGCGTGTACTTTCGTGTGAGTTTGTAATTAGGCGTTTTAGGAGTCGCCTTTATGTTTTGTGTGAAAGGCATGTGGCATATAATTAGGTATGTTAATGCTTGGTAATTGTTGGACGACCATGGATCGGTACACGTAGCTTGGGCAGATCTTCAGCTAGGTAAAAAGATGACATCATCAGGGTCGAGGGGAGTAAATGGAAGCAAATGGCGACTTGTCATTCGAAGTAAAAGGGAGACCTTTATCCAGCAGTAGTTTTCGTCCAGCTGATGATAGATCAACAGGCACCCATTTTATGTAAAATTCATGTTATCGACAAAATCATACAGAAACATGACTCATTAGGTTGGAGGCGATTAGGCTTACGGCAATTTAGGTTGGAGTAAGATGTTAAAATATTTGAGTTTCTTTATTTTTATAAATGGATATAGGTAAGCGCATTGTAACGTTGACATGTTACAGTTTTTCAATAAAACTGCTCAGTTTCAAAGCGTATTACACAATTCATAATGTAACTAGTGCAAGGAATATTTACTGAAAATAAAGCTAGTTCTATATTTTTGGTATATACATATTTGTTATTGTTACTAAGAATTAAAAAAGGATTTTTTGTGAACTAATTGCACGAATACCTTCCATATTCAACTAAAAAAGGCACAGAACCATGGAATTTCTACCACACAAGTTGTTTTACCTGAAAGCGCTCAAAATAATCACTTCGCTGCTACCGAAAAGCTAGAAAAGTGAATAAGCGTGGGCATAAGATTTCAGTTTCATGGTTTTAAATATTCGGACTTACATAACAGAAAAGTGTTAAAGATATTCGTCGTAGCAACAAAAATTGGTCAAAAATATATAATTTTAATTAGTTTTTCAAATTATTAGCGGCGAAGATCTGCAGATATTTTTAACATT